ATGAACCTCATATTCAATGAGGTCAAGAATGTCTAAAACAAGGTGGCTAAAAAAGAGAAGAACAAGATGATAAAAGAAATGACAGAACACAATCACAAGGTCAAGAAGATAGTTGACAGATTAGACAGAGCAATCACTAAAGAAGCTGAAAAAGAAGCACAAGATGATATAAAAGAAGAAAAAAAAACAATCATAGAAACTATCTAAGAAGAACAGAGATTAAATTTAGGGAGAGGATTGGTCACATGACTGCCATGACGTTCAACCACACAAAAAAGACAAATTTGAATCAAAGATCACAAGCATTGAAGAAGGAGATCAAGTAATCACAAATGAAGACCAGATCAGAGAAAAATTTAAAGCTCATCTAGCTATGTCAGTAGCAGATTCGAACATGGAAGAATCTCAATTAATAAGTGAAAAAATGATAGAAATCAACAATCAACATCCAACCCATACCCCATCTCAAGATGAGGTATAAGAAGCATATAACAAGCTTGGAAGATGCCTGCACAAGAATATCTCGAAAACACAGTTTGGATTCATTCCAACTTGTACTGTTGCTGAAGCCTTAACATACTTACAAGCAGTAATTAACAGGGCCAGAAGAACTGGAGAACCTATTTCAAATAGTTGTTTTGTATGCAAGAGCTGCTTTTGATCCGACAAGAACGGAAGCCACAACTTCAATGATGAACATCTAGAAATACCAGAAGAGCAACTGAAGAAGTTAAACGCATCTAGAACCAAGGAAGTCTTCTGCATAGAATGTTTGGCTTTAGTTCAATAGAAAATAAAATCCTTAGCCAAACAGGACAGGGAGATCCTACCAGCTCAGATGCTTATGTGGAAGGTAGACATCAAATTGCTGAAAAAAGAACTCATGCTCCAATCAGAGTTGGAGGTCTGAATATGAGAAAAACCAAAATTAAGCTGAATGTCTATACTTTGATTCAGGACATCTTAGGAAATTCTATGGCAAGGAAGCACCAAGAATGATTGAGAAAAGTATCAAGAGACTTCTGGAAACAGAAGACCTTCAGTTAGATGATCTTCTAACAATGGGTTCAAAAAACTTAGAGCTTTGAGTAAAAGAAAATCAAACCTGGCAAGAATATACATGGACACCATAGCCAAGCTTGCTGAAATAATCCTAGAATGGGAAGAAAGCCAGGACGCATGGGAAGCATCAGCTATTGGAGGCTCCATTTATGACCAACCATTTTCTTTATCAATAAGTGAAAGACTTGATCTCAAGAGGGCTGGATTCACAACTGTCAGATGAACCAAGATCATTTGAAAAAACCTGGACAGTCAACATACCGAATCATAATTTACAAATGTAGATATCGAAAATAATCAAGAATTTCAAGAGCAAGAGAAGAGAATTCAGAAATGCCCCCTTTACCAAGAACCATGTGAAATCTGTATTTATTGAGAAAAACCTTAAGATAACTTAGCATCTGAATGATAAAGAGAAAAGAAAGCAAGAAGACAACTAGGAAACTGCCCCATCCAGGCAAAAGAGAATCAGGAATGGAATCAGCATTCCGAAGAAAGAAGTGCTCAATCAAGTGTACAAGAGGAGCTACAAATCAGAATATTTGAAAGCTTTGAACCTCTCAACCAGAGTCCTAAACTAAAGAATGCGCGAAAGTTAAGTTATAAAGTTCAGTAAAATAATGAGTTGCTACTTAAATATTTAATCTCCTGTTCAACGAAATAACCAACCGTGGGGGATAAAATAATAATGAAATCAATAAAACTATGAATTATGATTTTAATTCTCTTATTCCTTACTAATGCATATGGAAGAATATTTAATTTCTTGATCTAAATCTTGAATTAAATCTGTATGGATCACAGAGAAAAAATATTTTTCTTTAGGCTAGAACTTTACGTTTTTATACGTGGTTATGAACACAGTGAAATAGGAAAGAACATATGTAGTGTTCCCTACAGAACAACAGGCAAAAGTATGTAGCGCGTTCCATACAGAACAATAGGCAAGTATTCTATACTTAACACTGGCCAAGTATATAGGGTTCTCTACAGAGCGAAGACAAGTACATAGTGTGTTCTATAGAACAATAGGCCAGTTTATGATGTTCTCTTATAAACAAAATTCAAGTACACAAGGTCTACAGTTAAATGGACAAGTACATGGTGTTCTTTACATAACAATACAATCATATTTTCAACAGCACAGTAAGCGAGTACATGCATATTCTCTGCAATACAAAAGGAAAGTAGATGAGGTCTAAAGTAACATAGTACATGTCATTCTTTAGCATACAAAAGGTAAGTTCCCAGTGTTTTCTACAGTATAATAGTTTAATGCACAATGGTTTGTAATGAAAAATAGGCCTGTCCATGGAATTCTCCACAGTACAACAAGAAAGCAAAAGTTTAGTTTTTTTCTACAGTACAAATGTGTGAGTACATGATGCTTTCATGTACACAGTAGAGTAAGTGTTTTACAATGCAAAAAGCAATTGCGTTTTGTTCTTCATTTGTGTGTTATCTATCAGAACAAGTTCAAATAATTTACAATAATGGAGTTGAATATGTATAAAATATATTTTCAGTTCAAAAAAGGTAAAATAGTTAAGTAAATAATGTTTTGTTTGGTCCTTAATGCAAGTTTACTATCTCTAGATTTTTACTTCTAAAAATATGTTGACAAATAAATTTAGCAAATTATATCAAAAATCAAAGACAACGTTCAAGTCGTCTTGCTACTGTTGTGTTTCGTGGATACCAGGCACGATATGAGACCAGTGTAATGTTCCTTTATCATTTGTAAATGTACAATCTATTTTTAAATTGATATTTTATAGATAAATGGATTGAAAAAATAAACCTGTATAAGTATAATTTGTAAATTGCAAACAGTTAATTGTAAATGCATACGATTATTTTAATGATAAATAAAATAATATTTAAGTTGTAAAATAACTATTTGTAAATGCATAAGTATCGCCAATGATTATTTTTCAGTTGGCAAAAATAATTTGTAAACTGTAAATTGTAAACCAATAACTATTTCCATGTTGGCAAAATTAGTTTGTAAATTGTAAATGCTTTAGCATCACCAATAATTATTTTCATGTTGGAAAGAATAATTTGTTGTAAATAATTTGTTGTAAATACTTAAGTATCATCAAAAATTATTTTATCTAGGCAAAAATGATTTGTAAATTGTAAATTGTAAATTCTGAGGTTTCACTAATGATTATTTTCATGTAGGCAAAAATAATTTGTAAATTGTAAATTGTAAGTTGTAAATGTTTAAGTATTACCAATAATTATTTTCATGTTGGCAAAACTGATTTGTAAATTGTAAGTGCTTAAATATGACCAATGTTTTTTCTACATTGATGAAAACAGTGGGCATATTGTAAATTGTAAAGTGCTTAAATATGACCAATGTTTTTTCTACATTGATGAAAACAGTGGGCATATTGTAAATTGTAAAGTGCTTAAATATGACCAATGTTTTTTCTACATTGATTAAAACAGTGGGCATATTGTAAATTGTAAGTGCTTAAATATGACCAATGTTTTTTCTACATTGATGAAAACAGTGGGCATATTGTAAATTGTAAGTGCTTAAATATGACCAATGTTTTTTCTACATTGATGAAAACAGTGGGCATATTGTAAATTGTAAATGGTTAAGTATATAACCCATGATTATTTTCACATTAACAAAATTTAACAATATGAAAATAAATATTCTAATTATCAAAAGATATTCTATAAATTTTTTGCAACCCAATGCTGTAGACTTTATATATTTCAAACTATGAATTGTGTTAGATCAAAAACTCTAATTTTAAACTATCTAAGGTTTGCACATTGTACCAGGTTGCACACACATAGGGATTAGAAAATTTGAGTTTGTGGCAAAGAGTCAATTCTTTTTAACCTTTAAATGAAGCAACATTTTAAATGATATTTTACCATGTTGTCATAAAACAAGTATGTGTTGCTAATGTTCTCATATTCATATACATAGTTCTAGATATTTGAGATAAGTGTGACTGAAAAGGTGTTTTAGACCCTTTAAAGACTTAGAATTGTGACTTAATGGGTCTTAACCCTATTCCCGCTGGGGGGGGGGGTCAATTTGACCCCCCCCCTGTAGTTTTTTTTACATAACTCAAAAAGTATTGGTCTGAGGCTGTTGAAATTTTCTGACTTTTCTTACATACCCATAGCCCTCCCTTTAGGCCTAAAACAGGGCTTTAATACTAACTGCCTGAGTCCTCAGGCACACTGCCTGAATGACTGCTTTTTCCTGTAACAAACTAAATCTTTGCTTTGACCCACTTTCACTTGTCAGATTTTGATAAAATTTAGCTTTTTGGAAAGCCTTTGACAAAAGAAAACAAATTGCACAAGTTTTGCGAAATAAAAATTGCTAATTTTTTGCAAACAACCTGTCAAAGGAAATGTGCACATTTTTAGTTTTTCTTGATTAAAAATCATGTTATTTAAAATTTTGCAAAAATTTTTGCATATTTGAAATGGCATGGTCAAGGGCTTTTCAAAAATGTATAATTTTTCATTTTTTTGACAAATTTTTTTTTGCACACATTTTTACTATATAACTGGATTTTGCGATAAAAAATTCAATTTTTGAAAATTTACAAATTTTTTTGCAGATTCTAAAAGTAGAGCACAAGAGCTTTCTAATGATGTATCATTTGTCATATTTGGACATCAAACATGGGATTTAGAGGGGGGATTAAGGGAGGATAATTAAATTGAGGGGAAAACCACTTAGTCGAGGGCCTCCAAGACCTTTTTGGGGTTCTAAACCTCACGAGCGTAGGTCCAAGGCTAAGTGGTTTTCCCCTCAATTTAATTATCCTCATGAAAACTCCCGGTTAAGTAGTAATTTATCGTTTAATCTCCTGTTCAACGAAATAACCAACCTTAAATTCCCTCCTTTTTTAATTCCTGGGAGGATAATTATTTATCCTCCCTATTTACAGGGAGGATAATTACTTATCCTCCCTCTGTATGGGGAGGATAATTACTTATCCTCCCTATTTACAAGGAGGATAATTACTTATCCTCCCTCTTTACAGGGAGGATAATTACTTATCCTCTCTATTTACAGGGAGGATAATTACTTATCCTCCCTCTTTAAAGGGAGGATAATTACTTATCCTCCCTATTTACAGGGAGGATAATTACTTATCCTCCCTCTTTACAGGGAGGATAATTACTTATCCTCTCTATTTACAGGGAGGATAATTACTTATCCTCCCTCTTTACAGGGAGGATAATTACTTATCCTCCCTCTTTACAGGGAGGATAATTACTTATCCTCCCTCTTTACAGGGAGGATAATTACTTATCCTCCACGGACTCAGAAGACATATATTCTGAATACTGTGGTGTAGGCTTCTAGGGGTGAAAAATGGAGATGGAAACGTTTCTTAAAAAATATTTATATTTTCAAAGGAATTAATACATAAATAATGATATCAAATCTATTTTTACAATGAAGTCAGTATTTTTTTAATATGATGTAATCTAAATAATAAAACAAGACATTCGTATATACATATCTTGTTTATAGCCGGCCAAACGGCTGGACCGATTGGGCTGAATTATTTTTAACAGGCAACGCCGGGCCCATCAGCTTGTTATACTTAAATGGAATTCAAGTGAACCTTCATTCACAGAGATGGCATGACCGATGTATATTTGAAACCTTCATTTCTCCATTTCTGAAGCAATTGAAAAACATGAGTCGCTTTTGAAGAGAAACCACAAATGAAAATAATCAGTTTTCAAAATGGGAAACATGGATATTTGATGAAGTACTTGATCAGACAATTGAAACTATGTCTGCAGTCACTTTAAACCTCTCAATTGATTCTATATTAAATAAACTGCTTTGTAGAAATTAAAAAAGAAATTTACAAAATTATTTTAAAAAAAAGACAATGAAAAGCTTTGAAAGTACTGCCTCCTAAATAAAGAATCCGAGCCCCCCCCTGAGTGCCCCCCCCCTCTCAGGGGTGCACGCCCGCTTAGGGGGGGGGGCGGCGTGCACACAGGATTTAAAATGCGAGTTAGAACGCGTTCCTGATTTTAACATTCTTTTCAAGCAATTTCCGTTCGTTCTTTTAATAATCGTTCCAATATTTTTAGAAACACACGATGTGTTCGTTCTTTTTTCGGAACGATAGGCTTGTTCTTAATAGTTCCTTTGTTCTTGTGAAAGAACCATTGTTCCCCAGGAATGACGCCCAGTCCTAGTGACGTCATAGAGCTGGTCATCAGAGGGAAGGTGTAACTGCAGCAGGTCTTCCACGAACTGTCCAAAGTTTGTCTTCACATTGTGCAATCTTTAGAGGATCTTTAATTGGCTCTGTGAGTAAATGTGCTCAACCTCTAACCGATCCTAATAGAAAATATTTTAAATACTTTTTAATTCACCAAACAGTAACTTGAGAAATATTTTTTATTTCTTTTTTTATTACTTTATTCTTTCAATTTTCTTACCAATCTTTGAAACGAAAATATTTATTATAACAATTTAATCATTTCATTATTAAAAAATAAATTAAAATTTGTCTTTGTTAAAAAATTGTTTTGCGCATCAGTGATCATCCTGCTTCTTTGTAAGGGAAAAGATAAAACACCACTGATCGATTAATTGTTTTTTCGCGTAGGATTATTAAAGGGACCGTTCACTTATTTGGGTATTTTCAGGGTAAACTAAACAGCCTATTCGCTGTTGATTGGTAATTGTCTGACTTTTCAAAGACAACTATGGCCGGAGAAAAAGCCAATTTTTCGTTCAGAATTTGAGCGGAAAGGGACGTCCCCTCTCTATAGACACTATTTGATGTTTTTTAGTGTGTTGTGGATCAAAATAAATTTTGAATATAAAATTCAACTGTAGTTTTTTAACTTTCTATTTCTAAAATAACACTATTTTATCGCATTAAAAATTGGGCAGACGCTGAACTCCAACCTTCGAGTGTGCGAGGTGGGGAAGACTTCGCTGCAGATTTTACTTTTGTACATGCCCCATTTTTAACAATTTTCAATTAAATTAGTGTTTAATTAGGGTTAGGTTAGGTTAAGACACTTTCTGGGCCGAGCGCTGCGGCAACGGGTTGGGATGACACTTTCTTTTATTTAGCTGGTTAGGTTATGTTAAGACACTTTCTGGGCCAAGTGTTGCGGCTAGGACAGGCTACGGGGATGAGCGCTGCGGCCACGGTTTAGGTTAAGTTATGACACTTTCTGGACCGAGCACTACGGCTAGGATTCAATCTCGATCTACAAATGTCATCCCCCCTTAATCATGCTTTTAATTAAGCGCGGCAGTGAAGTCTTCCCTCCTCACACACTCGAAGGTTGGAGGACGCTGAACTGTCCTAGCCGCAGCACTCGGCCCAGAAAGTGTCTTAACCTAACCTAACCCTAAAGCTGACAGACNGGAGAAGGTGTTTAATCGGCACATATAATATAACTTTTCCACTCAAATTCTGAACGAAAAATCGGATTTCTCCGGCCACATTTGTCTTTGAAAATTTTTGTTAAAAAACCGTTGTTTTCCATTTTTTTCTGTATTTTTTAACAATTGTCGTCCGCTTTTTCCACTTATCTCTGCGGACCACTGTACGTTTTAGTACAATAAATATGACTGCAACGCTCGACCCCCTAGCCTGTCCCAGCCACAGCGCTCGGCCCAGAAATGGTCTTAACCTAACCTTACCCCACGTCGGATATCGTTATATTATTTTTGATAAATAAAGCCGCCGCGCTCGGCCCCCTCTGACATTTCCGAGTTAATTTCAGCATAAGCTTTATTTTTCATTCCCAAGTTCATTTCAGCATAAACTTTATAAAAAATGAAATTTTAAAGTATATGTCCAGGGATCATACTATTTTATTGTGATGTACTGCGTATAATTTGTGAACATTTATATGAATTGTACACTTTGAACTCCTTTTCAGGCTCAAAGGGATTGAACAAATTTATAACAAGGGATAGCCTTATTTCCCTTCTATTCTAATCTCTGTTCTGTGGTTGGGCACTCTCCTGAGATATTGGTTCAATCAGCCTCCCCTCCATGTGAGATTGAATGTAAGCTGAAATAAGTGTGTATTGCAGTGTATGAGGGCTTTGCCTCCTCCCCCTCTCTTCATCCAGTGCCCCCCGGCCCCCTTAAAAACTTTCAGTTATTGGTCTGATACAACTGAGGTCATTCGAGGCAATGAATTTTTGGACCGGTAACTATTTATGATTTGTAATTCTTTCTAACTTCATAATTGAAACACAAAATTTGCTCATTCTTAGTAATTATTGAATTTACTTATTCTTAATATAGTTTTTGCATCTTAAAAGCAGTGCAGTAATGGTGCAGAAATGGTTACGTTACAATTCCTAGAAAGATAGTTTTTAGACCTGGGGAGTATGCTTTTATAAGATTATTTCGACTCTGGCGGAATTAAGATATATACGATATAAACTAAAGAAATAATAATAATAAGGACAGATGATTCCGATCTTTTTTCTTCCGTTCAGGCCTGGTTCAGGCCTATATCTACTGACAGAGTAAAAATAATGCTTTTATTCAAATACTTTGCTTATCTGTCAGTCCGTCTGTTTGTTTGTTTGTTTGTTTGTATCCAATAAACGGGAAAAATGCTGAACTGATCGAGCCCAAAATTATTTAGAAAAATCTCATGACCCTAGGACCGGGTTTATGGCTGGTAAAATTTTAAAAGTTTCCACAGAAAAAATGTTGAAAATTAAAATTTATTATTTTTGAGAATTCAACATTTTAAATAGAGAAATCCGCGAAGATTTGAGTTCGATTTAAAATATTGACTTTCAAAGTTTAAAACTAAAGTTGCTGATAAAATAGGGGGCGCGAAGCGCCCTAAAAGCCTAGTTATATAATAAAAGCAAACTTGTAGACAAATATTTTTCAGTTATCATAGATATTTGTTATCTGTAGAAAACGGAACAAAAATGACGTTTGAGGAATTTCCGATATGTATCAGGAATTCGCAGTTCTTCTCAAAACTATAAGTTTTGAAATGTTTCCTTTACATTTTCTATCTATTTCCAAATACATCGTAGTTGACAGGGTTCCCCTTTTTGAGGGAGTATCCTGTCTTCAAAACACGGCAGGGAATCCCCCCCTGCCGTCCAGGGGTGGATCCAGCTTTTTGAAAAGGGGGGTCAAACTCCTAATAAAACTGGGATGTTGGGGAGTACCGAGCGAAAGTTTTGAGTGAGAAGGGGGTTGCAGGGGGAATAAGAATAAGAATAAGAATGATACCCCCCAAAAAAAAAATGGTACGCCCCCGCCTTGACATCGACTTGTGAAAGTTTAGGAAAGCCCTCAACATGATCTTTTCGGTCTTATGTACGGCGATCTTTCCCTCTTTTTCTTTATAGATGGCCGTGAAGGCGTCTAAACTAACAGCCCGGAGGCCATCTCATGGCCTTAATTCGTAGCCTTTCGCTTTTACTGTGAAGAATCGGAATAAGGAAAAGAGTAAGAAAACGAAAAAGGCATGATTATATTACCTTCCTCTCTGTTTATTCCCGGACCAGTATCCCAGTCTTAACTTTACCAGATCCTCCTACCATACTGTAGGTTTATCTCTGGGATTCAGGATATATGTCTGAATTAATTTAAAGCGTATGTTACTATAAATCATTTTACTTTTAAAAATGGAAAATCCCAATTTTTAGACTTTGACCTTGCCAAGTTTGGACTAAACACTACGGAAATTTTTAATTTTAGTTTTGATGGTATTTTTTGCTCTACAAAAACAGAAAACTAAAATTTCTTATCTTTTGAGATTTCTATACATTAAGGCGTATGTTAAGTTCCACCATTTTGTAAATTTACAATAAATTAAAATTTCCACAAACATTGGAGATTCCGTATACTTTGGTTAATTCCGTATACTTTGTAATAATATTTGAAAATTCTAAATTCTAATCTTTTATTATTTTGATTTTGTCATCTGTGGCTAACTCATGAATATATGACTAAATTGACTTGAGAATAATACTTGTGGCTAAAAGAAGAGTTTGCATGGAGAGGAGGCTTTAACAAAGTGAGATAAAAAAACATATAAAACACTTAATGAAATAGGCAAGAGGAATAAAGATTTAAGACCCTGATAAAGATCAAATCGAGATCAGTAACTACGTAGGGTAGTTAGTTCTCGTCCTCGCCTTATCAGCCGTCAATTATTGTGACAATACACGGTGTCCCAATAAACATGGGAATTAAATGACGACTTCTATATCGTCTTTGTTCCATGCTGGATTATTTTGTTAACATAATTTTGTAGTATCACAGTTATAACATTTATCACCGAAAACTACCAGTCTTAGGATTTCCAAAATGTGGTCTACCATATTTTTTCACCTTCAAAATTGACGGAGATATTAGGAAGTCCAGATTCCAGATTATTAAAAATCATCAAAACTGTTCAAATGTTTAATATCTCCGTCAATTTTAAAGATACAAAGAAGGTAGACCACATTTTGGAAAGCTCATTTGATGCACTTTATGTCATTTATCAATTATCAAAAATCAAAGATGACATTCAAGTCTTCTCTGAATTCCCATGTTTATTGGGACACTCTGTACGTAGAATCTTTTTCTTAACCCGTCCATAATTTCAAGCTTTTTTGTGTCATGATAACACTTCAGAGAACTTAGATTTTTTGACCATCATATATGGAATGGAAATTTAACTTCAAAATAACCTTTCAAGAATGTATGGTTATTATAGAAATCTGATATAGCTACACTCCGCCTCTGGTAGGAATTATTGAATTTAAGTACGTTTAGGCTATCATATTTATGTTTACAATGAATCGTTGAATGGGTTGAGAACTGCAGTACGGTATTTCTTTTTTGTTCATAACAATTTAGTTCAGTTCAGTGAGGGAGGGGGTGCAGAGGCGCCATGATCCCCGCAAAAATGACCTCCGAGCCTCAGGATTTGCAGAATTACCTCCAGGCCCCGCAAAACTGGTCTCCCACCCTTAGTGACGTCACCAAGCCTCCCGCCATTCTGTCTCCACGCCCCGCGCATTCAGTTCAGTTCAGTTTAAACTTCACAACGCAATATTTTGGGCCCTGGAACATCTTTTTAAAGAAAAAAGTTTTCTTAAATTATTTCATTTTCCCTAAATCAATTCCATGACAAACTGTCATGCATTATTCTCAGTGTAAGCTTCGATAAAAATCAATGTTTTTTTTAGTGAAAAACACATAATTCTTATTTGAGGTAATCAAACAGTAAAACAAATATTTTTGAAATACTCAAGATACCAAAACATCAAAATTCATCATGAGGAAGGTAAATGATGATTAACTCTTTTATTTCAATTTGATAACTTTTATACAGTGGGACCAATAAAACTGCGAAACAGAAGAACGACATTTAAACAATCTAATTGATGCTTGCTAAGTTTAAAGTCTTGTTAGAAAGTAAAACGACTCTGAGACAGCTAAGGGGTAGGCAGAAAGGGGGAAAACAATCCTAGAAAATTGGGGATAGTTTCAATATGTAGATTCTTAAATTCTATTTTAAGAATGGATTTTAGTTTGAGCGTCAAGCTTTTATCCTGAAGTGCTTTTCTTTAGCTTTAACAGGGGATTTTCCTTTTTTAATGCCATTTTTCTCATACAGTGAAACCCTTAATAACTAATACATCGGAAGAATTTATCAAATGTCGTCTTGACAATTTTTCAATGAGTTTTATACTATATTACGTAAATTTCAGTATTTGCGAAAATAAATAAATAGCCATGAATATGCGGGAACAGTTTTAAAGAGTTCCATATAATCATTTAATTAAAAAACTAAATATCTGCAACATTCCATTATCAGAAAGTGAAGAATACGACATTTGATGAATTCTTTCGATGTATTCGTTATTAAGGGTTTCACTGTAGTAAAAATAAGCTATGGCTATTCGTGCAAGCAAAATACTTTAGTATTACATCGATTTATGGTTTCTAGTCTCTGACTCAAATCTCAACATAATATCTACAGGATGAGCCAAAAAAGTGTGATTAGCGGCGCCTGGTGCAAAATTGAACATTTGTTTGTGCAACTTTTCTTTTCAATATCTAAAATTTTACAGATTGAATTACAGAATCACAGAAAATTTGCAAAATTGTAATAAGAAAGTTCGCAATTTTCAGTTCTGGTCTAATATTTAAGGAAAAGTTCTTTAAATCCTTTAGTTTCTTTCTGTTCGTTATTAATATACGCTGTTCAGTTGAAACCTGAAGAGCCACTGAAAAACAACTTTTCCTTAAAAATAAGACCAGAACTGAAAATTGCTAATTTCAATCTTTATAAAATTAAAAAATTTAATAGAAATAATATATATGCACATTGTTGCATTTCTAAACATTTGTTTTTGAGAAAAAAAAGATTTTATCTTGGGCCATAGGAGTAACTAAAAAGATCTAAAAAGTTTAAAAAACACAATACAGGAAAGTTGCACAAAAAATGTACAATTTCGCACCAGGCGCCATTAATCACACTTTTTTTCGACTCACCCTGTATTTATTATGTGTGACTTATTTTTCTATGATTCTTCCAGTTAAAAGGGCAATTTTTGATGATTCAAAGCATCATCAAGCAGTTCAGATGTAATGAATTTGGATCTATAGATAGATAGATACCCCTCAAACATATATGCTCGAACTATAGGCATACTCTTTAAGTTTCTAACCAAGGAAAAATATCGCAAAATAATCTTTTAATGTTTAAAATTATGTTGTAATTAATTTTCTTGCTTTTAACAGTGAATTTACAGCAAAGTTAATAATGGAAAAAGAGAAAACTATTTCAATTAAGCATTATTAATGAATATTATTTTTGCATTTCGTGCAATTTTTAAGTCTATTTTTTTTGTTTTTGTTTTTATATGACAGAGGTTTGAGAAAATATGTCAACAAAGCTAATAATGACAATAACGGCTAAGAAGAAAAGATAGATAAATTTTTGCATTGTTTTATTTCTGAGAATAAGAAAGCTTTAGGAATTCAATACGGCTAAATTCTAGAAAACAAGATTGATCATAAAACCCCTTTTTACACCTAACTAAATAAAAAAGTGTATTTTACATGTGCTTAAGCCCATTTAGGATTTCAACTAAATTATTTTTCAACCGTAAATTATTCACTAAATAAAGACGATCTTACACTCAATTTTCTTATAAAACCTTTTTTATGCCAACTCCTTTTCATTTTTACAATAAAAAAGTTGTTAAAGTTTAACAATTTTATTATTTGTTTTTGAAAAACCTTTCTACACAAAACAGGAACGATGTCCTAACCGGAAAAGGGTTAAACCGTTAATAGAATGTCGACATGGTGGTGACCCCCCCCCCCTCCCCATCAGTTCAGGTGCAAATGCATATTAAATATTTCTATTTATATGATCGACAATAAGCTTATTTTTTACTTAAAAGATCCATTCTCCAGAAACTTCTTATTTATGTTATTTGTCTATCTCTAATTTCCATTCATTGTCACTATGACAACAACGATCAATCCTAGCTTTAAGCTCCCTTTCTTTACCCAGCTACAGTATTGATTCTCTCATTCTCTTGACTTCAATCAAACCACTCTGATTTCACCTTGCATGCCTGAAACAATACCTTTTCATCTGTTTCATTGTTTTGTTGTTCGTTTTTTTAAATAATGCTTTAAGAAAATTTTCAAATAAAACAGCAATTAAAAATTAAAATTATTACTAGACTGGAAACCTCTCAAACCTATGTTTTGAGGAATTTATATCGGATGATATGCCATTTCGGGGGATTTCCGATAACTCCTGTAAAAAGACGAAAATTCATAAAAAAAAAGAAAAAAGGGAAAACGATCATAATCGATTTTTAAACAGGAATTCGTTTGACTGTCTATTAATGAAAGACCTTACCCTTCACTGCACTAAGTTTTTATATCGAAGATAAATCTATGAGATAATGATGGGTGAGCATAATGCATTTACCTTAATAAAGGAAAACATTGAAGATGATCGTGCACTTCTCCAGACAGGTAGCTTGATGATTTAATAGGTACGATACAAAAAAAGTTTTTTTATAGAGGACCACTTTTTTTTTGAAATATAACATATCTGTAAATCACATGCTGATGATGAAAACCATTTTTATAAATGATAAATATTCACATATAAACAAGATCGTTAAGGAATTGTCGGAACTGGAACAGAGGTGGAAAAACAACCTATACTTGATAGGTAACTACTTTTTGAAATGTAAGTTTGAAACCCAGATAAATCACCTTGAAGAAAGTTATCTTAAATATTCCTGCTCAGTAATCGCGAAAAAGAGGAAAAACTTAATATTTGATTAATTTCATTATGAACTAGACTCACACATAATAAAAACACATTAACTCGCTAAACTTAAATATACGTTCATGAGACGAAAAGTAACATTTTCTTTTATTTTAAACAGATACATTCCGGCTCACCCAGTTGACCGATACACTTTTAAAAAGTGGGATACTAATGATTGGTCACGCCACAATGAAAATAAATACTTTCAGGTAAAACTTATAGGATTGTATTTCCCTGTACACTGTATATTCAAACTGATAGAGATAAGAAACTGTGCACAAAGAACCTCCCTCAGCAAAGGAATTAAGCATTTTCCACAAATTATGTTTTTTTAATCCCTATATCTTTGCAACCCAATGGCGTAGACATTAGATATGTCAAAAATGAATTATGTCAGATCAAATTTTATATGTCAAAGATTTGCACCATTAGATTGCAAAGATTTAGGGGTACAAAGTGATATCGTATTCCTTGGGGATGGTCAAATGCAAATAATTGAATATCAGTATAGATACAGTTTACTCCAGAGATGTTAAGTCATCGAAAAATTTATAAAATGTCGTCTTAAAATTTTTTTAACGAGTTTTTATAGTATTTTACGTAAAAATCAGTATTTTCAAAATAAATAAATAACGAATATGCGGGAACAGTTTTAAAGAGCTTCATATAATTATTTAATTAAAAACTAAATATCTGCAACATTTCATTATCAGAAAGTTAAGAATACGAAATTTCATAATTTCTTCTGATGTCTCTTTATATTTGAACCTAACTGTAGTTTGATATAGACACCTAATATAAATTGTATACTGCAGTAAATTCCAGTCATAGATTAAATACACATTGATATGTAAGCTGGTAGAATTTTTCAGATCTTGTGATAGACGGCTTAGCAGAACGCAATGGCATTTTATCAAAGATAACATATACAGGGTGTCCCACGAAACATGACAGTATGCAGGACGACTAGAATGTCGTCTTGATTTTTGGTATAATTTTCTGCGTTTATTTGTCAACCTAATTTTAGAAGTAGATTTCTAGAGATAATAATCACAAAATTTCCCTTGTCCTACCATTTCCAAAATGTGGTCTGCCTTTTTTGTGCTTTCAATATTGCCCGAGATATGAAGAATTTCGTTCAGATTTCGACAATTTTGCTTTTATTTGACAAAATTGAAATCTGAACCAAACTCTTTATATCTCCAGTAATATTGAAAGCAGAAAAAACGCAGACCACTTTTTGGAAATGGCAGGGCTAGGAGAATTATGTGATAATTGTTTAAAGAATCATACATGTTAAAGTAGATAGAAGACTAAATGTCACAAATAAAATCAAATACCAACGACGACTTTCAAGTCGTCTTGCTATTGTCATGTTTCGTGGGACACCCTGTATATATATAGATACGCTGGCAGGTAGAAACCTCCTGCCTAAATTGCTTGTAGCAGACAACCCATATTTGTATTGAAACAAGAGACATACGCGTATTGCATCTTTTATAGTTCAAGTGTTAAATTTCTAGGTAACACACAGGGGCGGATACAGGATTTAAGTGAGGGGGGGGGGGCAAGATTTTTTAGGAACCAAAAAATTCATAATTAGGAACAAAAATCGCGCCTATGGCGAAATTTTTTTTGACTTAAAAGACTCAAAAAGAGTCAAAATTAATGACTAAAGACTAAAAAACTAGATTTTTAACTTTTCACACATTATAGTTTATTCAGACAGATATTTTTCCTATTTTGCACTAGGGTTTCTTTCCCTTAAGTATGCTATTGAGAAGCTACTCTGAAAATAGGAACAAAAATAAAGGATTAGGACAGGGATTTAGGAACAATAAAAAGATTGTCCAGGAATTAGGAACAAAATTAAAGGATTAGGACAGGGATTTAGGAACAATAAAAAGATTGTTCAGGAATTAGGAACAAAATTAAAAGATTAGGACAGGGATTTAGGAACCGCCCCTGGTAACACAAACTTTTTATTATCAATTAGGACAAATGTGATGCTTTCACGTGTAATTGTTGATGCTTTGTGTAACCTAACATAACCAAAGAGAATAGATTATACATAGAGTGGAATTTAAACAATCCCTTGGTATGAATTTTGTCAGTCCCTTTAAGTCTGAAAGGGAAAGCAAAGTTTACATCCCTGAGCATATCCATACCAATTTCTTTGTTTTATAAAATTGTTAAATAACTTTAAACGTGTGTATTCGCTATAGGTGAATTAAAATCATTATTTTATTAAACATTAAAATGTAAAAATCGTCGTTTGTAAAGTGAATTCCTTCAGAATTGTTAAACATTTTGCTTCAGACTCGTTTGTATACTGCAATTGATATCTTGTTTTAAATCAATTTTCCTATTTCGAATAGGGAGGCTTTCAGGGCGCTTTGTATATCATTGTAAAACAAAAACAAACAATGAGTAAGAAGTGTTTAAATTTTGACAATATTTTTTCAAAATTTTAATGATTTTCGTAAATTTAAATAATTTCTGAAGGAGAACATTTTTATTGTTTATTATGGAAAATTTGTTTTAAATATGCAATAAATAAGAAATTGAAATTTGCCTTTTTTCGTTCAATTCTTAAGGGGGCCCAAAAAAATTGCACTAACTTTTTTGAAGGTTTCCATTCTCTTGGGCAAAAATGGAGGCAAAATAGAGAGCGATAGGAAGACGTAATTAGTCCTAATAAGATTAAGGACAGATTTAAGCAGTTTTAGTTAGGGTTTCCATTCGCAAAACATTTGCTAAATTTTTGCGGAAGAAAACGCAAATTTTTGCTTTCGTTTCGCTACATTTTTGCGCGAAAAAATAGAACTTTGCGCAATCATTCGCAAACTTCATTTCCCGCCAAATTGCTTTTGCGTACATTCTCAAAATCTCTTGAAAAAAAAAGATTATTATTTACACAAAATACCCCTTAAAAATACGATTTCTCTATGTACCAGTGAACAGTGTTCCTAGATTCTTTGGAATAAGTATTCCCACTTTTATATTGACCATATTTTGGCTTGATTTAATTCTAAGCCGATATATAAAAAAGATTAACAATTTCTGTTCTACGCTTTGGGCATCATTACTGATAACAAGTCTACTACTACTTTCTTTTTCTCAACTTTAACAAAATAACACAGATTACTATCCTAATGTTATGGGCGCTTTCATTATTTGTAATGTGTTAGTTCATCGTTCGTTAACGACCCATTTGTTCGTTTGTTAGTTAATTAGTGGATATTTGAACTAGTTCGTTTTCTGATTCATCGTTCATTTTCCATCTATTTCCATAGTTGTCAATAAACGTTCTTTCAACAATTTCGTTTGTGTAGCAAAATCGTTCATTTAGTAAATTTATTTCTTCTGTGAGATCTTTTAGTGAGATATTTTGTTTAGTGAAATTGTTTGTTCGTTGAAATCGTTTTTTCAGTGAAATCGTTCGATCAGTAACAAAGTTAGTCCACCAAAATAATTCGTTCAGTATAATAGTTCATTTAGTGAGATCGTTCATTCAGTAAAATCACGAACGATTTAGAAATTAAAATCAATATTATTTAGTTAGCCAACGTAAAAAGTGAGATTTTCGAATATTCGACATAGCTTTACATCAAATCAAACTTATAAACTTATAAAACTTAACTTCCCTGGGGGAAACTTTCTGTTGATTTTCTTGTATAACCCTGAACCAAAATACTTAAAACCTTTTATCAGATGGCAATACAATGAAAATGAAGTTTTTTTGGTCTTAAACGCAAAAACACATTTTAGTTAGGTTGGCCGGGTTAAGCATTAAACTTAATGGATTTCAGTGACCATGAACGCAAAGCAACCATATGCATAAGACCTAGATAATCCTGATTTTGATTATTAAAATCTTTGATATTTTAAACTTTGATCTAACATAGATTGAAAAATTAAAGGTCTACGACCAGTTTCTACTTTTGCTCAATACGTTTTGCACAATTTTTTTGCCGGGTTGGTTGGCACTTTTATTTTCACTCAATTAGGTGCAATAAAACGCGCAAATGCAATTTTTTTTCTCGCGAAATTTCAAGAAAAAAATCATGGAAAGCCTAAAAAGAAATTAGCCTTTTGATGTTTCATATTGATGTATAATGAACATGTCAGTGTCATGTCAAACCTTATAGAAATCCAACGTATAGAAACCGCTACGTATAGCAACAAGGCGTATTTTCCAGGAGAATATTTTTATATTTTTAAGAAATTAAATGTTTTTGTAAAATATTGTAGCTTATCACTATCATTATCATAATTTCTATTTTTTTAACATACCCTAGACATTAAAGGAGAAAAATAGTTTAATATATAGATTTGTACTGCTCTCTATTGTGGTTTAGGTTCCCCAGATTTTATTATGTACTGGCAACATAAATTAATGATTATATGGTTATACATAAAATTGCGGGGTACTATTAAAAAAACTATTTTATAAAAATGCTATCTACAGTTTTATTTTTAGAAAAAAAATTTCTTAAAAATATAAAAAAAAGTTCTCCAGTAATGCTAGTATGATTTCATAAAACTCCGTTTTACCATTTAAATAAAAGGATTTTATGAAAATTATATCTACTTTACACTGATTATTTAATTTATCAAAAATATAAGAAATGTTCTCCCGAAAAATACGCCTTGTTGCCATACGTTGAATTTCTATAAGGTTTGACTCCCAATGATTTAAGAGCGAGCGAGACCGTGATGCAGCCTCGAACACTAGGGAAGAAGCTAAACAACTTATTCATGCAACAACATCAAGAACGAATCAGACTCAAAATGACGTATGTATTCTGTTCATATAGCTCTAAAAAAACCCTATTTAACATAAATTTGTTTTAGTTTTGCATGTTTTTGTCAAATTAAATCAAGCGTACAGGTTGTCAGATCTGTGACCTTAAAACAACACGCAATTTAAGTATTCTGACGAGTAAATGTCGAAAATGTCAGCTTTATAATTAGATACGCATGAGGTTAAAGGGGTCAAATTTTAGTATCGTAAAACTTTTTCTAACTTACATCATAAATCAATTTCAAGAAAAGTTTATTGTTATATTTATAGAAACGACTTATACAATCCTATATTTGTTGAGATTGAGATAAATAGTTATACGATAAATAAAGTTGAAGCTTCCCTTTTAGTCCCCTGATACAAATAGTTCTTTTTTTCATAGGGTTAAATTGTAAAACAAACATAACATCCTAGGCTTTTAGGGCGCTTCGCGCCCATCTTCTATTAAAATTGTGAACATGTTCTTTTGTTTACATTTTAAAACAAAGAAGAAAATTTTTTTGCGGATTTAAAAAAAATCGCGGATTTTCAAGAATTTAAATTTTTTACAAAATTAAAAACCTTTAAAACACATTTTTTATTTTTATCATTCATAAACCTTCCCTGTGGTCACGTGATGTCCCAGGGGCATGATTCCCCTTGGTAGCTATGATCTCAGCGATCCAAAAAATCCTTGAATTGCTGATCGTAAAAGATCAACAAAACTCGCCCACTGTTACAATACTATTATTTAGGTTATTTCATTTTCTTAAATTTGTTATCTTTTATAAATAATTTGGTTAGGCGGATATGACAAAGTTACAAAAAAAATGCTACAGTTTACTCAAATTGAAGTAGGAATCGATTTCACATAATAAATAAAACAAGAATTTAAAAAAGAATAAAAAAATTAAAATAAAAGTTATTTTTTTTAATTCAAAAAAAAATTTACGGAAATTTTTTCACTCATTCTACTTTACCTTATAACACATTACATTACATGCAAGGTTATATCCATAGAACTGCCAAAAAGCCTTAGTTTGATAAAAAAAAAATATTTTTCTTTATAAAGCCTCATTTGCTTAAGGTGACAGAGAGATTAGGAGAACGTCTACAAAACATCAATCTTTGGAAGTTTGAATTAGAAAAATCCATCAGGCAAAAACAGCAGTTTCAAATTAAATTTTCAAAAGTTTAACATCTTTAGGTTATATTCATATTTACTTTTTAGAGATATAACTTCAGAAATTGAATTACTTGTGACAGAAAGGCGTAGACTGGAATATGGAATACAGGTTTTTATCAGTCGGTTTTCATGCATCAATCAAATTAGAACTTGTGAAAATCTCCCTCCCCTAACCACCCAAGAGATTTAATGATAAACCATAGAGTGTAGCATAAGGGTTCTCTAATTTTGTTGATAGTAAATGACATGATTTAAACATGGAACAGTATATTTAAGGTTTTTGATTAGCTGGATTCAAGCAAAATTGTTTCATACCACATAAAAATTAATTATAACTATTAGGATGCAATGATAACCGATGGAGCCATTTTGGTCCTCGAATTTATCAAAGAATCTCTCATAGAATCATTTTTTTCTACTTTGGACGAATTGATAATAGAAGAGATATAAAACCATTACAAGCCTTGCAGTATTTAATCAAAACATTTTTTTATTTACATCACAAGAAGGTTCATGAAGATTAGCAGGATTTAAAATTGTTACGTAAAAAAATCCAGTTTTTCATTAAAAATCATTTATTTTTCATATGTTTTTTTAGGCTACTGAAGGACCCTTACATATAGCTCGAGATTGCCTAGCTAATCGTCAGCGACGAATTGACTATGATTTAGTTCAGGATATTGCGGAGAAAGAACTTCTTAAAGAAATAGAGCTCATAGCACAAGTTCAGGTTGGTCTAAATCCCTCAAAAACAAGAATTTTTGTAGCTAAAATCTATTTTCGAATGAAGTAGCTTAATATGCATGCTTTTACATATTTTACTGCTTTCTAGTTCATTTTTAAAAGCATTAATTACAACGGAATACTAAGATTCCTTTTTATTTAATCAGAGCTGGGAACTCTTGTATTGCAGATATCTAGATGCTTGATCATCAGATTAATATGATTTTTTTCAATGTCTTACCCTGGGGGAATAACTGAAAAGTTTCCAGCTCACGTCAAGTTAGGATATTAAGAGAAATGCTTAATTCCTATTTTTTGGATCAACCTGTATACTAGGCTTGCGCCCCTTCTCTATTAACATTCGTTGCTAAAAGCTTCAAGTTTTCTTTGTATAGATCGCGGTTCACGTTTCGCGGATTTATCTGTTTAAATTGGGCATTAAAAAATAATAAATGCCAATACTTTTTTGGGGACAAAATTTCTCTTTTTAACCATCCAAAAAAATTCATTGGAGTCATGTAAGATGCCGAAAATAATTAGGTTCGATAGATTCAGAAATGTTGACGTTTATTGGATTTTTTTTCTTTTTTCCACGGGAAACGCCGGGCCCTTCAGCTAGTATGTTATAGATTAGTATCTCAATAAAAATAGGGTCTTTTTGGCACATGAAGGAGACCTGAGTAGAAAAGAAATAACAAGTTTATGCTTGAATGAAACAACTATATCGACTTTCTTTCTCAGGAAATTTTGGTTAAAACTCTTCAGCAAACTAAGGTAAAAACACAGAAACTACAGTGAAACCCTTAATAACGAATACATCGGAAGAATTTATCAAATGTCGTCTTTACAATTTTTCAATGAGTTTTATGCTATATTACGTAAATTTCAGTATTTGCGAAAATAAAGAAATAGCCATGAATATGCAAGAACAGTTTTAAAGAGTTCCATATAATCATTTAATTAAAAAACTAAATATCTGCAACATTCCATTATCAGAAAGTGAAGAATACGACATTTGATGAATTCATTCGATGTATTCGTTATGAAGGGTTTCACTGTAGAACGAGACCGGTTAATATACAATAATAAAGAAATTAACTAAAATTGTAAAACATTAGAAAATTAGAGTTTCTGGCAGGTTTTCAGTTCCTTAACACAATTTTGGTGCAGAAAATAGGGATTTCTAATTTTTTTAATTACTCAGGATCAACTGGATTCATGTAGAGAAGCTAAGCACCGACTCGAAATGGATTGGAGTGACAAATATTCAGCACAAAATCTTGGTTAGTATACGAAACAATTAAGGGAGGTCAATTAAAAAAGGAAATCTCAAATTTCACAGGTCCATTTCATGCTTTTTACCAATTCCATTCCACAGTGCAAAATACTCCAACTGCGATTGCTGAACAGCTTGTTAATAAATTTATGAATACAAGGTGTCGCAATAAAATATCGATTATGTGAATATAATTTAATTATTGACATTCGTCTATACATATAAATATGTCAATTATTGCTATCTGATTTGCCTTCCAAATTCTAGACTCTAAGAGCGTTCAGTTAAAAAATACACGTGGAAACACTCAACGAAGGGCTGGAAAAGCACTTTACAACCTGCACGAAAGTCTACCTGGAGACTGGCAGACATTCACAGATAACAACATTCGTCTGGCAGAACAGGTAAAGGTATTGGTGCCCGTGATATGGATAATTTGAGATATGTTACCGTATGCCAGGGTTAAATCTTTGTTTCTATGCTGGATATAGATTACATACATCCACATAAACACTCACACACACACGATTTCGATTCTCTGCATTATATCCAAGACTTGTCCGTTAAACCTCAGAAATCGTCAATAAACGTCCTCCTGCATCTAAATGTCTAATTTGAGGAATATGCAGGAGAAAAGTCAGAAAGCCAGTACCAAAAGCGTGCAGACGGATACCTTATTGTGCTAAAGTGCTAAACATTATTAAATATCTGATGTACTTGACAATTTGTTTAAATTCTGAATAATACACTGCACTTATAGTCGACGAAAAAAACATTATAGTAAAGAGCTGGGGTACCTTAACAAAGACACAAACTTTTTCTTCTCAGACAGATCACAGGAGGGATATGCAACATCTCCACATCCAATGCAAGGGCCGGGAAAATGTAAAATGTCATATTTTTGTAACAAATATTATTTACGCACTACGGTTTGGCCGCGGGCTCAAGGTAACACACATAGATATTCTGACGCTCTGCTACTTTATGTCTCGTTTGTTTCGGAGTCTATATTTTTAATATATATAGTAACTATCAGGATGCTTCGTGCCCATCTTCTATTTCAACTTTAAATATGTGCTCAATCTTTCAGCATTTTCTCTTTGATAAAACAAAAAAATTGAACAGAACTTTTTGTAATTCTGAGCATCCATAAACCTTTCCTGGGGTCATGTGAGGTCCCACACAAAATGTGGGCCCAATCGGTTCAGCTGTTTTGACGTTTATTGGATACAAACGGACAAGCGCCCCCTGCCCCTCCCCCCGCTTTAAAAAAAGCAATTCATAAGTATAAATTATAGATTGTGCTCATTTATGTACCATTTTTAAACTTATGATTTTTTTCCTTTTTTTTCATTCAAATCTTGCCTAAATTCTCAAATGTTTTTCGATATTTTGGACACTGATTGTACTTAGTTCACTTATGCGCGGCAGAGAAAGCTCAAAACTTATGATAAAACATTTGTTTTTAGAAACCTTGCCAAGCTCATTAAAGGAATTGAGTCTTTGCCACAAACTATGATTTTCTAATTCGTATATCTTTGCAACCCTATGTCGTAAATCTTAGATATTTCAAACTATGAATTCTGATATATCAAGTAATCTAAGTTTGAAATATCACAGGCTTACAACATCAGGTTGCAAAGATATACGAATTAGAAAATCATAGTTTGTGGCAAAGACTCATTTCCTTTGCCATATTCTTGCTTAAAATCTTATAAACTTAGGAACGCGAGGCAAGTATACGTCTAAGAGGTATGATCGGAAGCACTCTCTCCAATACTAGTCAAGATATGAGGGAGCAGGCGGACAGGGTGGCACAGGCTTTATCTGATCGACTATCTGAGACAGAGGAAGCGACAAGGCAATTATATATAGTAATGATAATATAGAACAAATATTAGGATTCCTACTAATGAAAAAATGCTTTAAGATATGATTATATATAGTAATGATAATATAGAACAAATATTAGGATTCCTACTAATGAAAAAATGCTTTAAGATATGAGTATAAGTTTATTGTTGCGTGGTGGTTGAAAAAGATGTAGAGAGGGCTTGGATGAAAAGAGAGTGGAAGAATGACTTGCGTGTGGAATATATGACTAGAGTGAAGAATATATTACTAGATTATGGGTTGTGCCACGAGTGATGGATTTATGACAAGAGTGTGGACTGGATGCCAAAAGTGTCCTAGATATGATTAGAGTGTCCGAAAGGTGACTATAGTGTGAGATATATATCATACAAGAGTGTTGGATGGATGACTAGAGAGTTGAATGGATTGCTAAACTTTGGGATGGATGACTCTCAGTTGTCCTGAAGCAGCAGTAGGTTTTACCTCAAATAAAAAATGCTATAGCTAGGTACATGAAAGGAGGTTATTTTGACGCTTTTAAAATCACTATTATTATAATTTCGCATTAGCCATTAGCCATTGGTGATTAGAGTTTCAGATGGATAACTAGAGTGTCAGATGGATGACTACAGTTTTAGATGGATGACAGGATGAAATGTGGGATGAATGACCAGAGTGTGGGATAACTGAAAACTTTGTAAGACTGCTGACAAGAGTGTGGATTTGATGATTAGAGTGTGGAATGGATTACTAGAGTGTCAGATGAAGGACTAGAGTGTAATATGGATGAGTGGAATGGGGTAGATCAGTGGAGTGTTAAATTGAACTCTGGGTCGAGTGTGGGAGAAAAAGAGTTTCTAGAGCGTGAGACTGATCATTGAGACAATAGTGTTGCATGTAGAAAATGGGATTAGGGGACGGCTCACAGAAGCAAATTTGGGATGTAATAAAACAAAGTCCCATGAGCCCCTGGACATAGGTCCCACACGTCTGAGGGGACTGCATTTTAGTCTCAGGGGACCAGTTTTCAGTCTCACGGACGAGTGTAATCGGATATTTTAAAATTTGCAAATTTTAATTTTAGTGGGGTGGTTTCTTGTGGATTTCTGTAGATTTAGAATTTTAATTTTAGTGGGGTGGTTTCTTGTGGATTTCTGTAGATTTAGAATTTTAATTTTAGTGGGGTGGTTTCTTGCGGATTTCTGTAGATTTAGAATTTTAATTTTAGTGGGGTGGTTTCTTGTGGATTTCTGTAGATTTAGAATTTTAATTTTAGTGGGGTGGTTTCTTGTGGATTTCTGTAGATTTAGAATTTTTTACAGATCATTGTTTTCAAATAAATTTTATGGTAAAGGGAAGAGTGGAAAAGTGTAAAATAGTTTTTTTTATGCATTTCAAATATTTCAATAAATGTTTTATTACAAAATATTCACGAAACTTCTTAGAGGGAGAACAGATCCCCAAAAGAATATCCACAATCGGAAACTGAAGCAGTGTAATTTTCGCTAATTATTCTTATCAATATATATATTTAATGTATGGATTAGGAACCTTGAAAGTAACCTTAAAAAGACAGTGGACGAGATTGCTGCGGTTGAAAGTATAATCAGAACATTGAAGAACTCAATATGGGAGAAGGATGCACCAAATAAGGTGAATTATTAGGCAAAATCACAATTTGTGCTTTTACAATAATTTGTCACGATCATTTTCGCTCAGAACATGATAACATTTAATGGCAGTGCAATTTAAACACAAAGAACGAAAGAAGTATAAACGTTTTTAAATATTGCCAAGTGATGCCGATCAACGTTTCACACTCCACTAGACAGAAGGAGAAGGGCCGAATATGTGCGACATTATTGGCAAGACTTTGTGACTTCGTAGCACCTCTAGCTTTCTAAAAGAGCCATAAGTATAAATGGATAATATTGTGCATGGGTGGGTATACATTATGCAATGCACTACGGGACGTGTTTATTTTAATTTCATGGATCTCAAGAAAGATAAGGAACTCAAGAGAGCTCAAGGAAGATAAGGAACTCAAGAGAGCTCAAGGAAGATAAGGAACTCAAGAGAGCTCAAGGAAGATAAGGAAAGATCTCAAGGAAGATAAGGAACTCAAGAGAGCTCAAGGAAGAAAAGGAACTCAAGAGAGCTCAAGGAAGATAAGGAACTCAAGAGAGCTCAAGGAAGATAAGGAACTCAAGAGATCTCAAGGAAGATAAGGAACTCAAGAGAGCTCAAGGAAGAAAAGGAACTCAAGAGAGTTCAAGGAAGATAAGGAACTCAAGAGAGCTCAAGGAAGATAAGGAACTCAAGAGAGCTCAAGGAAGATAAGGAACTCAAGAGAGCTTAAGGTCTCCGAAACAAGTGTTTGGTTAATTCTAAGAGGAGCAGTATCAAACTATTGCTACTCTGGTTCAGTTTTATTCGTACTTACTAAATATGCTTGACCGAAATTTTTAAGACGGGTTATACTATTTATTAATAAACCAAAAAATATTTAAATTATAGCAAATGTATAGATATACTATTATAAACATTAAAAAAACTATTTTTCATCATTTACTAAAATACGAGCACGAGTAAATATAAAAATTCTTATAATTTATTATTTTCATAACTTACTTAACGCATATTGGATTTCTTGATCATATTAAAAATTACACTTTTTCAATTTGTTCTTACTTAAAAAGCAACAAACACAAAAAGACTATTGATGTAAGTGAATTTTATTCAAAACAGACAAAGCGATTTGTTTGATCTCTAAACCTACCGTTTTCGCAAAATTTCGAAATCTTATTTTCCCGAATTTTAACATATTTTAGCAAACGAATGTGTCTATTCGTTTTTAAACGAAAAATGAAAAACTACGAAAATGCCATTTTAATTAGTCCTGAAAGTGTCTATTGAATTCTTTCAAATACTGCAGGGTACTATGGGGTACTGCTGGTTGCTTGGGGGGGGGGATACTGTTGGTACTAGGCTACTTGAGGATACTGAGGTGTATTGCAGTGCAGGGTACTTTGAGGTACTGCGGAGTACTGCGGAGTTCTGAGGTCCTTCACTTTAAACTTATCCTATTTTTCTCTTTTTAATCCGTCTTTCTATTTAATCTATATAATCATAATCTTTTTTATTCGTCTTTCTCTTAACTAAACGAAGACCATTTACTTCTTTTTGATTCTGTTCTACTCTTTAAACTCAACCCATTCTTTTAATTCGTCCTTCTCTAAACTCCTTCTCTTTAACTTCAACCCATTCTTCTCTTTTTAATCCGCCCGTCTCTTTTGACTCTATACAGTCCTCTCTTTCTAATACGTCCTTCTCTTTAAACCTAACCCATTCTTCTTCTTTTTTTATCCGTCCTTATCTTTAAACTAAACCAAATCTTTTTTTAATCCGTTCTTCTTAAACTTAACCCTTACTCTTTTTTAAATATTTTTTTCTCTTTTCAATCCGCCTATTCTTTTAACTCAATTCAATCTGGTTTTTAGTTTGTCCTTCTCTTATTAAACCGTATTCCTCGGAAACCCTATCCTTTTCTTTCTTTTTTAATTCCTTTTGTAAGGTTCACTTAATTTAATCTTCTCTTTTCAACCTGTATTTCATTTACAATTCGTCCTTTTCTTTTTTAAACATTTCTTGTCTTTGAACTTAAACCCTTCTCTACTTTTCAATACAACCCATTTTCCATTTTTCAATCCGTCCTACATATAAAATTCCGTCAATTTTTCTTTTTAATCCGTCCTTCTCTTTAAACTCAACATCTCATTCTTCGCTTAAAACTTAAAACTCAACCCATTTTCTCTGTTTTATCCGTTCTACTCTTTAAAGTCATCCCTTCTCTTTCCCTTTAATCTGTCCTTCTCTTTATGCTCAACCCATCCTATATTTAATCTTTTAAATCTGTCCTTCTCTTTTCTATCCGTTCTTCTCTAAACATACACTATTTTTCTCTTTCTAATCTGGGCTGCATCCTGTCTACCTAATCCGTGTTTTGAACCCTGATGCGTATTGCAAAGACGACGTAATACGAATGTGTAACAATTAGTATTGTATAAAAATACTTTTCTTGTATCTTAGGATTGTGTGAAAAATATAATTGGTTCTTTTAGTTTAAAATCATAACAATTAAATTAAATTTTTTACATAATTTTTCGACAAGTAATGGACTAATAATAAAACATCAATCGAATACAAACACTTCATCTTAAGACTTATTTTAACCTTAAAATACAACATTCAGGTAGCAATGACTAGACTAACAAACAGACATCTCCGACCAAATGTAGAACTCTGCAGAGATGAGCCAGCTCACAGGTTTGTAAGTTTTTTTTTAACAAAAAAGAGATAAATGTGAAAAACAAGGGTTTTAATAAATTATCGGTATATTGATAAAAAATATGATATTCAGGCTTATTGAGGAAGTAGAGGAAATAGAAGATTCTGTTAGAAAGTTGGAAGATAAGGTGAATAGCATACAGACATCAAGAATTAAATTTTTCCTGCTGCTCTGATATTAATTGTTCTTAAAGGGACAGAAAAGGAAAAATGAAAGGGGGTATAGGCTGAAAGCTAATCACTTTAGCTTTTAATCGAGACCCTTGAGACGCGTATCTGAAGTTCCTGACTCGAGAATTAATATAAAGCTGTTTTAAATTTGTACGAAAATGCATATATATACAATTTCATATAGAAATAGTAGGTTTAAACAGGCCATGTTCAGAAAGGGTCTCGATTAAAAGCTAAAGTGATTAGCTTTCAGCCTATACCCCCTTTCATTTTTCCTTTACTGTCCCTTTAAAATAAATTACATTCTTAGTTAGTAAACAGCGAGAAAAATCATTGTGAACTGAAGACAACCCGTTTATCACTGGAGAAGGAAATCTCTGTGAAAAAAAACTCTATTTTGATCGATAGAGATAGATGTCTTAGGTAATACTTAAACTGCAGATGCACGTAATAAATCTAGGTCCGGAGATTACTTGATTCTTAGTCTAATTTTTAGTCACACTGACTCTATCTCTAGCCAAAACTCAAGGCTCTATATCTCTAGCAAAAACTCAAGGCTCTTTACACGTCCGTCTAAATCAACGTTTCATACATTACTACTTTATTAATACAGGTAAAATAGAACTGACCGGAATGGCCAGTCAGGGTCAATATGAACATAGACAAAAGAGATAACGAAACATAGATAATAAAGATTACATTGATCATGGTAGCATATTCGTTACATGCACACAATTTTGATTTTAAATTGCACAAAGTGAAGGAAAAAATGCTTACTGATAGAACTGATAGAGCCACAATTAAAAGTTAAAGGATATATATGTTTTGGGCAAAAAATAATAAAATTAATCAAAAAAAATGTCAAGGTGGCTTTATGGCCGGAAAAAAGTCAAAATGTTTTATTTCTTAAAGGTTTTAAATCTATGTACTATGCACTGATTCATCCTTTTCATATTATCTCACAAATGTACGCATGATGTAAAGAATATTAAAAAATTACGATGATAAATACAATGCATTAAAAACTAAAATTTATGCTTGACATATGCGATAGTTTACATAACAAATGACTTTATCAAAAATAATGAAAATCGTGATTATTGATTACAAAACAATAATAACTATACTTATTCCACGATATTCATTTTTTAAAGAGCTTTCCGTTCTCTTTTCCATTCTCTTGATCCAGTATTAAAAACTTTTCACAGAAAAAAATGAGTTTAAAGTTTTGTGCAAAAAAGTCTCTGATTGGTATTATAAAACCTGATTGCTATTATGAAATCTGATTGCTATTATGAAACCTGATTGCTATTATGAAACCTGATTGTTATTATGAAACCTGATTGCTATTATGAAACCTGATTACTATTATGAAACCTGATTGCTATTATGAAACCTGATTGCTATTATGAAACCTGATTGCTATTATGAAACCTGATTGCTTTTATGAAACCTGATTGGTATTATGAAACCTGATTGCTATTATGAAACCTGATTGGTATTATGAAACCTGATTGCTATTATGAAACCTGATTAGTATTATGAAACCTGATTGCTATTATGAAATCTGATTGGTATTATGAAACCTGATTGCTATTATGAAACCTGATTGGTATTATGAAACCTGATTGCTATTATGAAACCTGATTGCTATTATGAAACCTGATTGCTATTTTGAAACTTTTGATTGTAATTCGTTGATTTCTTACATATGTATGTTGAAGCCACTAAATATTGTTGTGTTTAATAAAGCCTTAAGCAAGTTTTACTTATGTTTTATGTTTCTATGATTTCTTAATGAAAATTATTTAAATTGCGTGTCTCTCCACCATTTTAGTTTTCCACCCTTCTCTATACGTCGGTAGCCGTCTTCAAAGAATATATATCTTAAGGATTTTTTAACTGATCTTGAGCAAAACAAAAGAATAGAAAGACTTTGATAACAAACTGGAAATATGCGTGAGTTTGTGCTCACACCCCTTATCCAAAAATAGATTATTAAAGTTAAAAATATCTTAAGGATTACAGGGGGCTTTGTGAAAATAGATCTAAAGTAACTTAGCTCTTCTGCTGCAGTTGTTTCACATATTTTTATTGTACTAATATTTTGTTAACATCTGTTATAATCATTACTGTAAAATATATGATTAGATTGGAGTGCAAGAAAACTTTGCAATAAATGTCGTCTTTGTTCTTCCCTTTCTTCTAAACGTAGCAGTGGATTTTGGTATTTTGTACATATCCAAGGATAAATGTAAAAATTTCACAGACAGTTTTTCGCATAAAAAAATTCTGAAGAAAATCTTAAATTTTGTTCATCAGGATTCGAACCTGTTTTCCTTCCGGGAACCATCTGTGCGGATACAGATCGAATACCTTTGGAATCGACCAATGAACAAAAGATTATATTCAACTACATCTAAAATTCATAAAATACTGGTAAGATTTTTTATTTCTCTGATGTTACTTTTGGGGGATTTTTGTATTTGAAATGTTGCACCTTTTGTTAAAAATCTTACTTAAAGGGACTGTAAGCCTTATCTCAAATGACCCTCCAGGCAAAGATGACAATGCCCACAACGGTACATTTCAAAGCTGATCAAGTATAAATTAGATATCAACGTTTAATAATTTTGAAAAAACTAATTATTTTCAATTTTGGGTTCTTTACAAAAATTATCAGAATTAAACACTTTTAAACCTATAAAAGTGACAATATCTTTCACATTTTTGATCAGAAAACGATTTTAAGGGTACTCTTATGAATCGGGCATTGACATATTTTCACGGAGGGTCACTTGAAATTACGCTTACAGTCCGTTTAAAGAAGATAAACTTTACTAAATAAAAAGTACATACAGTGATAATCAAAAACTCTAAAATAGAAAGACGTCTTTATGGCAGTGCTTGAGTGTATTTTGTATTGTTACAAAGCGAATAGTTTACAAGTCACTAACTAAATGGGTCTGTTTACACTCACAATTGCTGTGTCCCATGCTCGATTGACTATTTAAAGTCATTACTTGAGTTTAAAAGTCGACTCTCTATTCAGAGTCTTCTGGTTATCACTGTTTGCACTATAGTAACACAAGTTTGGAAGGGGGTGTGGGGGGGGGGGCAAATTTTGCAAAGCAACAGTTTCGTCAATGAAAATATAATTATGTTGAAGACCCCTCATTGTCTGCTTTAAAGACGTAACTCATACAAACTCAAATACGGGAAAACAATTCATGATAGGTGAAACGATCAAATGCACGGCAGCGCCAATGCAAATTTTGATTCTCATGACATACTTGTCTAACAAAATTCATTAACCTGAGTCTATGCTGAAGGCTTTGGAAAAACACTGCACAACATATCTTTACATATGAAATATAAGATTCTTATCAAGATTTCCATTAAAACTTGTAAAATATTTTGTTCTTAATTTGAAATATTTTCTTTTTTTTAGGTTGAATTAACTTAAGCAGTTCTCAAGACCATTATGCAACTGTTCTAAATTTTAATATTCTCTGTATTTGTAGGTTTTGTTTGTATTGTAGTAATTTTTAAGCTCACTTCTGAAATGTAAAATACAACTTTGTGATTAAAGTATAAAAAACATGATTTGCAAAAAAAAAAATTAAAACTTTTAAAGAAACGAGAGTGACTGAGATTTATGTTCCTTCCTGTTTCTCTGCGAAAAATGTTCGTAAGATTCTCAAAAAATATTTGTAAACGATACTACTGGTTCACTGAAAACCTTGGCCTGTATTGCTCTGGTACACACATAAAATGTCAAATTTAAGAAGATGAACAGTCAATACTGAACTTCTGGTTATTGGTTAAATAGAGAAGGGAAATCCTAAAACTAAAATAAAAGCTATTCTCTCATTTTCTAATCCCTTTATTATTGCAACCCGATGTTGTAGACTTAAGTTATAAATTTTGTTAGATTAAATAATCTAAGTTTGAGATATCAAAGGTTTACATCCTCAGATTGTAAAGATATAAAAAATCGAAATATTAGTTTGTGGCAAGAACTTAGTTCCTTTGGATTAGAAATTAAATGAAAACGTTCAATATTTCAGGCCTTCTCACAACTCATAACTTTTCTGATTGTCTTTTTCCCATTTTTAACTTTCCTTTTTTGAATTCTTGTTTATACTTCAAAAGTGTCCAAATAACAATATACATTAAAATGAAAAATACGCCAATAATGTTATTACTTTGTATCCTATCACAACGTGAAAAACAGACCCCCTTTTCCCACAAAAGAACGCAGATCAAGCAGAATCAGTGCACAGGGTGAGTAAAGAAAGTGGGATTAGCGCAAAATACTAAAATGTTTTTTAGTAGGATTCAATTTTAGACTTGAAAATATTAAAAGTTCTATATAGCGCATACATTTGGGTTAATTGCGTTAATATGAGCAAAAAAATACTGCGACCGGAAACCCTATTGAGCATGTATTTAAATCAATTATCTGTATCTGTAAAGTTGCCACAGTGCATAGCTGACTCTCAGCAAGATAAGATAAAACTGTGTATCCGGTGTCAATACGACGTATTAAGCTTTATTAAAACATCAAAATTATTTTCTTTAGTGCGCAAACCTGCTTTTTTTTCGTAAAAATTAATGCATCAGGAAAAATTGTTTTTGAAGTTTTTTATCAGAAATATGCTAAGACTTGAAAAGTAAAAACATGGAGTTATCACGAATGAGACCTTTCTATGAAATTTGGGTTTAAAGACGGGGTTGAAAACAAAAGAGAAAATAAATTAAAGTTTTTTTTTATAGAAAAATGGTTTCAATCAACTCAAATGGCAGTTTGGAGAATGACAGGGACATTTTAGTGGATTGTGCTTGGGTGACGGGATACAGTTCACTGTCCACCCTCGTTATTATTTTTAACTCCATTTTATTTTTCTCTGTCGGGAAAAACAGGGAAGTCACTTTTAAACAAAAAATTTAGAAGAAATAAAGGTGGTATTAATACAAGGTGGGGGCAATACGATTTCCGTACATTTTACTGTGACGTAGTAGGACTGCGTAATCACAATAACAAAAATTGTAAACAAAGACACAGATGATAGATGAACTTCTGACATTTATGCATAGAGAATAGAATATATATTAGAGGGGAATTTAAAGAATCTCTCGGTATGAATTCTTTCAGTCCCTTTCAGCCTGAAAGGGAGTTCAAAGTGTACAAATCACGTAAATGTTCACAAATTATATGCAGTAGAATACATTAATACAGTATGTTCCCTAGACTATTCATTTCAATTTCGAATTTTTTAAAGCTGTTAAATAAACTTTATAATGAATTAGGTGAACAAAAACATCATTTGATTTATAGTTATAACGGAAAATCATCGTTTGTAAAGTGAAAGGCATAGAGTCTATGTGAAATGATAATTTGTCAATTATGAAACCAGCCTATTTCATAATTTGGTTTTCTTTTAACATTAATTTTAGATTTTCTATAAAATGATGTTCCAGCAAAAGTTTATATAGCATAAATATGTGAAGTACACCTGCAGTATGGAAACAGTACAACAAAATGGCTTTTTTACACTTTTTTCTAGTAAATTCCACTCTAATATATATTCTATTCTCTTTGCATTTATGTAAATAAACGTTTAAAGATGACCACACACACACAAACAGATTTGCATTGCAACTGGGGTATTTGTAAAAGGTGGGGGAGCGGATAACTTTTTATTTTGATTTTTGAGTGAAAATCTGAACTTTTTCAACTTTCAATCACTGTGGGGGGGGGGGGGGAAGGAAGGCAGTATAGTATGTTGGTATAGCCCCCTCCCCATAATTTTTAGCTATAGGGTTACCAACAAAATGTGCGATTTCATTTGTAAACAATTTCTCTTAGACATTGTTAAAAAATTTCGGATTTTATAAAAAAAATTTCGTGGATTTTCAAAATTTTCCAAAAATCTATTTTTTTAGAGGCAATTATTTAAAAATTTGACTATCCATAATCATTCCCTAGGGTCATGTGATGTCCCACACAATATTTGGGTCGGATCAGTTCTGCCGTTTGACGTTTAGTGGATCCAAGCAAATTATACATTTAAAACAAATTCATAGATCTTGTGACAACTAGTGCAGATTGTTCAGTTTAAACATGTTCTTCAGGTTCTTCAGGTTTAGTTTGGATCTCCGGTTTTTTCCTACCAGAAGTGCTCTTATTCGGTCAACTTTAAAAGCCGCAGGTTCGGGTGGGAACAATCTCCGCCAATCAACGTCTAAAATATTAGAAACTAGCTGCTTGGTCTGAGATCTCCTGGCAATCCCAAGCTGATGCCCAATCCCAAGATGATGACCGATGCTGAGTTGTTGCCATATGTCGAGTTGATGGCTGATGCAGAGTTGATGGCTGATGTTGAGTTGATGGCTGATGTTGGGTTGATGGCTTATGCCGAGTTGATGGCTGATGCAGAGTTGATGGCTGATGTTGAGTTGATGGCTGATGCCTAGTTGATGGCTTATGCCGAGTTGATGGTTGATGCCGAGTTGATGGCTGATACTGAGATGATGGCTGATGTTGAGATGATGGCTGATGCCGAGATGATGGCTGATGCCGAGGTGATGGCTGATGCTAAGATAATGGGAGAGACCACGGACTGTAAGCAAGGTTGGAGAGCTAAGCCTAGTCCGAGAGGGTTTTTGATTTTTGATGAAGACTATAGAAGTTGTGTAATGAGAGGAAACAATTTGGTTATCTCTAGGAAGACTGGTAAGGTTGATGATATTAAGAAGAATAACGATCATAAGAAGAAGGAAGATGTTAAAAATGATGATGATCCTGATAAGATTGATGATTTTAAGAAGACTGATGATTTTTAAAAGACTGACGATTTTAAAAGGACTGACGAGTTTAAGAAAACTTAAGATTTTAAGAGGAATGATGGTTTTAGGAAGGCTTATCTTTTTAAGAGAATTGATGATCCTAAGATTATGGGTAATCATGGGTTAAGATGATGGGTGATCCTAAGATGATGGGTGATCCTAAGAATAATGGGGATTCTAAAAATAATGGAGATCCTAAGAAAAATGGCGATCCTGAAATGAGTTGTGTTCCTGAGACGAGTTGGAATCCTGAGAAGAGTTGTGATACCAATGGCCGAATTTAAAGAATTTGAGCGGCGGTTTAAATTTAAGCCGCAGTTTAAATATGGTTGGTCCCACTTAAGATTGTATCAAATGTTTCAAGATTTAAGCCGGCGCTTAATTTAAACCGGGTTTTGGTGGATTTAAACCGTGGCTCAAATTCTTTAAATTCCATCTCAAGTTGACGAGCGATCAGGAATAAATCCTTGTTTGCTGTTGAGATCCTCTGGAACTGATGAGATCTATTGGTCTCGAGTATAGGGTTTAGTGAGATGCCCTGGATTGATGAGATTCTCATCAATCATGAGATATTCTGGGTTGAAGAGACATCCTGGTATTGGGAGATATCCTGGTCTGATATGATCCTTTTGTTCAAGGTCTCCTGGTTTGATGAGATTTCCTGGAATAGTGAGGGTTCATGGTTTGAATAGATTTCCTGGTCTGGTGGGATCTTTTGGTTTGTGATCTCTTGGTTTGATGAGATATCCCGGTTTGATGAGATTTCCTGGATTGGAAAAATCTCCTGGTCATGTGAGATATCCTGGTATAAGTGGGACCCGGAGAAAGATGAGTTAACCCCAGGACTAGGATAAATGAACTTGAATAAGAAGACAGGAGAGAGAAACCCCATCTTTGAATTAGTAAGGATTACAGGAGATGCGGAGAATGACAGGNATCTCAGAGTTCTTTAATCTATGTGGTTTCTTTGAACCTGTGAGACTCCTGATGAAGCTGTTTGTAGGATCTTTAAAAGGCAATGAGTGGGATGAAATACTCCTTAAGGAGGATCAAGTAATATGGAGAGAGACCATGAAGTGTTATGATGATCCTAGCTTAGGGGAGGCTCGTGTTGGTTCAACAGGTCGGAAGAGAACCTGGAGTCAGACCAGAGCTAAACCTGGGAAAGAAAAAAGAAGGAAGTTGAGAGCTGTGAAAGCGGCGGTGAGTGGATCTCCTGGTGTTAAGGCGTCAGGTCGGACTCCGTCCCAGCCTAATCTGGGTTTGCCTGGAGTTTGGAGTGGGTTCGGAGACCAGACCAGCGGGCTTCACCAGGAGGAGGAGTTGGAGAATGTGGTTGTCCTTGATGAGGATGATGCTGTTGTTATGGCGGAGCACTCTGAAGAGGTTGTGACTCCGGGTCCTGGCAGAGCTGTGTCTGGTCATCCTACTGTAAAACCTAAGAAGAGTTTGAGTGCAGCATCTAGGATGTCTATATCTGATGAGTTCAGATTCCGGACCTATGAAAAGCTGATTGAAGGAACTGGAGGGAGAGATGAGGTCGTCTTCCCTGGTTATATGGAGTTTCAGTTCAAGATTCCCCATGAGGTGTAGGGGAGAGAACCTTGGAACCTAGTAACGCCTGTTAAGGACGTTTATGTAGCCTAGAAAGATAGGACTACTTGTGATTTTTTTTCTTTTTTGCTTGGTTGGCATGTTAATATGTTGATATTTTTAGTAGATAAGATCCTATCTCATCTAGACAACAATCTAGGATCCCCTGGAGTAATAGCAACCATGTTGGATTGGTCCGCTGCTTTAGAGCCACAATGTCCTAATCTAGGGATCATAAAGATTATGAATCTAGGAGTCCCTCCAGCTCTCCTCAGTGTAAAATCAAGTTAATTGTCAAAAAGATCTATGTCAGTAAAATTTAATGATAGTACATATAAAACATACCAAATGCAGGGTATATTTCTTGGAGTACTGGAGTATCTAATTCAATGCAATGCAATGCAATGATAATGCAGATTTAAATATGTTGAAGATTTAACTATACTTGAACTTCTCTTTTTATCCTACCTTTCAACTGGAATATCCTCATACAACCATACTAGCTGCATGTTGCATCAGATAGTGGTATTGATAATATTCTATCCCTCCGACCAACCTTCACACTCAGATATACATTAACATAATATAAGACTCGACCGAAAAGAATAAAATTATGCTTAATTGTGAGAAATCCAACTATATGCTATTTACCAGGTTTACAACAAACTTTAGTAGCGGACTTAAACTAAATAGCTCTAACCTCCAAAAAGTCAAATCAATGAAGTTACTTGGTGTCTGGAGAACTGAAAACCTAGATTGGGAGACTAATACAAGAGAAATATGAAAAAAGAGTTACGCCCGCTCTGTAAACTTAATTTTATTGCTATGAACCTGAAAGACCTGGTTAGAGTTTATATTGCGTACATAAGTAGTATTCTTGAAAACTGTTGTGAAGTATGGAATTCTTCTTTATCTATAACTCAGGATGAGGCCCTAGAAAGGGTTCTGAGAGTGTCCTTAAAAGTTATTCTAAGACTAGTATATGTTGATTATCTATCTGCTCTATCCGCCCTGGAACTAGAAACCTTAAGGATTAGGAGAGAGCAACTTTGTTTATCCTTTGCTAAAAAATGCCTGAAATCTCAAATGCACTTTCCTCTATTCTCTGTAGAACCAGTCACTCACAACCACGGAACCTTGAACTTTTTACTGTCAACTATGCTAGAACGGAGAAATACAGAAAATCTGCTATTCCTTAAATGCAGATAAAATTAAACTTCCTATGATATAATCTTATCTTATTTTGTGATATAACCCATGCTATATTCAATTATAAACGAGAATGTTAATTATATTATAATATGTATAATGATCTTGATTTACAATTAAAAGTTAAAATAGTGGACGGGCGCAAATCCTAGGATATATCTTGCATGTCTGTCTCTGTTTGTCTGTCAAAACTTCACATGACCCCAGGGAAGGTTTATGGAACATCAAAATTGGAAGAGAAAATCATGAAAATTAGTTGGAATTCTTTTTTGAAAATGCGCCAATTCAATAAAGAAACAGTTAAAATGCTAAAATTATTTACAGAAAAGGGGGTGCGCCCTAGTATAATATATATCTATATATATATATACAGATACTAGGGTTTCCAGGCGCTTCGCTCCCATCATTTATTTCAATTGTGAACATTTTCTCTTTGTACGTAAAATAAAAACAAGCAAAAAGTTCGCGGATTTGTTTGAAAAATTTCTTGGATGGAGGCTAATTTTGGAAATTTTGATCATCCATAAAATTAGGGTCAGAACAAGCCGTGTTGACGTTTATTGGTTAAAAACAAAAAAACAGTCAAGTATATATATAGATATGTCAGCTATAGCTGGCCAAAATCCTAAACTAAATTGGATGCCATTTTTTAGGGAACCCTATGAAAAAGGCAAAAACATGAAAATATGACAAAACCCACACTGAAAAGAAAAATATTGACCAACAAAATGTTTCTAAATAATATCTTTTTAAAAGTGCTTTCCTTTCATTCTTTCAGTTATCTTCATTACTCAACTCACTACACGGTTCTAGTCCTCGCAGTTAGGTAATAAGTTAAATATTTTTTAATTTTGTCAAGTTGTCAATTCTACATAAAATTCTACCAAAATATTCAGGAATTCAAGTTACGTAAACTGGTAGTAAGCATAATATACCAAATAAATAATACCCTTTTTCTGAAATTAATGAGAAAAAAATGTGCTAACTTAAGATAACATGCATGAATAAGTATTAAAAGTCGGGTCGTGATTGTGAGTTGTGACCAAGATTTATTTTAAAGAATTTTAAAAATACAATAAGAGAGGTATCAAATCAATAAAATTCTTAATTTGAATCCAAAATTTTAACTTTTTTCCTTAAAGGGAGTGTTCGCGAAAAATGAAAGGGGGTATAGGCTTAATGCGATAAAAAGCGCTTTTGATCGCTACTAATCTTACTTCTATCTGTTGCGTCTATAAGGAGAAACTTGTTAAAGACGTTTCATACCAAATAACTTAGCGCCCATACAAATTCAGAAAATTGCAACATACAACTTAGACCGTAAAAAATCTATTTAATTTCAAACAATTCATTCAGATAGTACAACCTATAGTCATCGATTATCTTTCGCCACATATTTGTATATAGTTTATGTTTTATAATATTTTATTTTTTTTAGAAAACGTTTTAACTGATTTCGAAAAATATGAGTGGTCCGCGGCATTCTTAGATAGTTGCGCAAGCCGCAAGAGAAATAATCAAATTCAAAACAAATTAATTAAAAAATATTATATTAAGACGGGGTGTACACAGGTTCCCTAAAAATTTTTTTGGGAGGGAGCAGTTTTTACCCTCATAAAATATTTTTTTTATTTTTGGGTAAACCCTGTGTCTTGACAGAGTCTTGTAAAAAACCAGCAAGGACGTCGTAGACGTCATTTATGAGCGCTCTCTAGGACGTCCAATGAAGAGAATTTTTTTGTGTGGGGATTTTTTATTGGTTAATGAGTGATTTTAAGATGGATTTAGTATAATGAGTCAGTAATTGAATAATCATTAGACTTTGTGATATTTCAAGATGCAATACTCAGTCGTCAAAAATTTCATTGTAAAACAGTTTATGAATCAACACACAAGTAGTTTTGCCCGGAAGAGTCAAATGTGGTGGTACAGAAGGGGAAATAGTGGTGGCTCATGGCCGCCGGAAGAGAAAAAAGCTAACATGTGGCACGGAAGGGGAAATAGTGGTGGCTCATGACCGCCTGCCTTCCCCCGCTCTCCATACAAAATCAAAAAGTTGCAATATTCAACTCAGATCGTAAAAAAATCCATTTATTTCCAATAAAATAATTCAGATATTACAATCCATAGTCATCAAATTTTTTCGACGCATTCGAATAAAGTTAATATTTCATAATATTTTTATTTATATATGATGCAAAATGACGATTAGTTGGCCACTAGGTGTCTCTGCTTTCAACTTTTCTGCATTGTTCCACATGGACCCCCCCCCCCTCCCATTCCAATAGCCCTGTGTCCCTTCTCGGTTCCCTTTCCCCCTTGCGCCCCTTGTGTCCCACACGGGCATGGGAATGCAGGGGGGAAGGGGACATGCAAAATCCTAGAGAGGAAAGCACTGCGCACATTGGAATTTACAGCTGATCATACAAGTGGATTTAAATACGTTTACACACAAATCTCTGTACTCGATGAACACACAAAGGTTTTAAAAGGTAACGTTATAAATAGGGCATTGCCCTCTTTGCATGGAGTGTCACCTAAAATTACTCTTACCGTTTATTTAAGGAAGTTCAGTGCGCGTATGTTTACATGAAGTCAACAATATCAGGGGATATTAGTTCCAAAACAAACACTTGGCCCATTTCTAACACTGAGTATTAGAAATGGGCCAAATCTGCAAAGTTATCTTTTTCAAGAGTATATATCTTTAAATCCAAGAGAGTAGAACAAAATTACACCATATATTTATAAAAAATGGCTTATGCTGAAACAATAAATCTCAATTTAAAACTAATAATAAGGTGTGAGAATTAGTTTTTGATGATTCTTGATTTCATTTTCGAACATATTCCTGTTTTGAAACAAATAGAACAGATACACAACATTAGCTATTCTAGAGATATTCCTGTTTTGAAACAATTACCGGATTTTAGCTCATGTCGTGTTTTTGGAACATACACGGAAACAACTCAACACGGAAACGGATCAAAAATTATCTTTAAGGAATTTCCGTTTCTTAAGAAATTCGAGGAAATCCCTCAAAAGTTCAGAATTGTTGAGGGGGATATCCGAATATTTTGTATCCTTTTCCCAATATTTATAGTTGAATGGTTTCCTCTTTTTTTGATCAATTTCCTCATATTTTTAGGTCCGTTTCCTCATTTTATTGACCTGTTTCCGTTTTTTTCAAAAACTTTAAAATTCTCATTTTGTTGATCGGTTTCCTCAAATTTTAGGTCCGTCTCCTCATATTTTTGATCCGTTCCCGCTTTTTTCAAAAACTTTAAAGATCTCATTTTTTGATTGGTTTCCTCAAATTTTAGGTACGTTTCCTCATATTTTTGATCCGTTTCCGCTTTTTTCATAAAACTTTAAAAATCTCATTTTGTTGATCTGTTTTCTCAAATTTTAGGTCCGTTTCCTCATATTTTTGATCCGTTTCTGCTTTTTTAAAAAACTTTAAAAATCTCATTTTGTTGATCGGTTTCCTCAAATTTTAGGTCCGTTTCCTCATATTTTTGATCCATTTCTGCTTTTTTCAAAAACTTAAAAATCTCATTTTGTTGATCGGTTTCCTCAAATTTTAAGTTTGTTTCCTCTTATTTTTGACCAGTTTCCGCTTTTTTCAAAAACTTTAAAACTCTCAATTTGTTGATAGGTTTCCTCAAAATTTTGGTCCGTGTCCTAATATTTTTGATCCATTTCCGCTTTTTTCAAAAACTTTAAAAATCTCAATTTGGTAATTGGTTTCCTCAAATTTTAGGTATGTTTTCTTAATATTTTTGATCCGTTTCTGCTTTTTTCAAAAACTTAAAAATCTCATTTTGTTGATCTGTTTCCTCAATTTTTAGGTCCGTTTCCTCATTTATAATTCAAAAATTCTTACAGCAATTAGAAATCAAAATATTAATATCATTTGTCCTTAAAGATTTAACTAGAAATTCAGGAAACTGTTTGTTTAAAATGCTTGAAAATAAATCATCCATATTCTCTATTTTAACAGATAAAATGTGGAAACTTAGATTCTAGAAATAATTCAGAAGTTAATTTAGTCTTCATGTGATAATCTTTCTTTTCAGTGATTTATTTTGTAAGTTGCGAAAGTGTGTTTTGTTTTGAATTGTGGATTATACTCAAAAACGGGAAAGCATGGGTTTTTGTCTCGAGAACGCGACAATGTTTCAAATTCAGGATATGTTCAAAAAGGGAAAATCTAACATTGTCTTGAAAACGGCAAGAGCTTTAATATAAAAAGAACTCCTACTATAATTTTGATTTTAAAAAAAGTTGAAAATTGGGAATTCTTGTCTTCGTCATGTTTAATAAAATTTTGCTTTTAGTTTTTATTATCGACTTTTACTCTGGATATGGGCCGGAATCCCAAAAACCCAGTCTTTCAATTTGTGCCAATTTCTAACACTCAGTGTTAGAAATGGGCCAAGTGTTTAGTTTTGGAACTAATGTCCCCTGAATATTCAACATGAAATACAGTGGTTAATATTCTTAAAGGGAGAAACTTGCATTGTTTGGTAGTTGAACTGGGAATGTAGTACTTGTGGAGAAATTCTTTAGGATTCATTTGAGACATATAAAACGTTCTAATGATTTTTGAGGCGTTTCCGTATTTTTTAAAACTTCATTTAGTTGAGGCGTTTCCGCAAAATTTTTGAGTGGTTTCCATATTTTTATAAACTTCATTTAATTGAGGTGATTCCGCAAAATTTTTGATGCGTTTCCGTATTTTTTAAAACTTCATTCAGTTGAGGTTTTTCCAATTTTTTTGAGGCGTTTCCGCAAAATATTTGAGGTTTTTCCGTATTTTTGAAAACTTCATTTAGTTGAGGAGTTTTTGTTTTCAAAACTTCAATTGGTAGAGTCGATTCCTCTTTTACTTTACGGGTTTCCAGAATTTTTGTAAGAGTTTGTCTTTTTAGATAACTTCTTAAATTCATTATAGAGGAGACTTTTCCGAAAATTTCGTTTTTGTTTTTTAATAAAGGCTTTTAAAACTACACATAAAGTTAAGACATTTCTGCACATTGTTTCCGAACAGTTTAGAGGCATTTCCGTTTTTTCATTTAAGTTTTTTTCAAACAACACATGAAGTTTTTTTTAAAAAAAAATTCCTTTTAATTTCTCAAAAAAATTGTACAACATTTTTATTCTCGTACTTTGACGCGTTTCTGATTAAGAGAAGAAAAAATTGTTGAATTTTTTTCGGAAATTTCAAACGTTTCCAACAAGTTTTTACCATTTTAGCGAGCCATTTCTATATTTATATAAATTAGTATAAAACCATTTATTTATTTATTCTTATTTCAATTTTGTTTCACTTTAAATATGCATTTTTGCTGATTTTGAAAAGTTAAATACTGTAAAATTAGTAGATTTTTTTCAGAATCTTGCGAAACATAAAATGAAGGGTAAAATAAACAGAATATTAGTGAATACTTGGGGTAATTATTAAAAAAGAATTATGCTAAACAATCACAACGTGATCCTCAGCAGTCTATATTATTAAAAAAATTGTAATTAGATAGAATGACTAAAATGTTTATTGACAAAGCTATTTGACTTTATGTATAGAAAACTAAAAATTATTTATATCTGCAACAAAAACGGTCAATACTGTTGTACAAAGTTTACGAGATACAAGACTTAAAGAGTGAAAATGATGACGTTGATCTCTCCTTCAGTATGCATGGTACCATTTTCAGTAGTTATGTAGAACACCTTTTACAAGCTTCCACTGTTCATCTACAGGGACTATCCTAAATGTTTGGAGAGGGAAGGGAAGAGACTAAAAGTTTTTTTTTTAATCGGAAACGCCTCAAAAAAAAAGAGGAAACGCCTGAACTAAATAAAGTTTAAGAACATTTTTTCTAAAACGGAAATGTCGCAAAAAAAACGGAAACGCCTCAAAAAAAGAGGAAACGCCTCAACATAAATAAAGTTTAAAAACTTTTTTTATAAAACGGAAATGTCTCAAAAAAACGTAAACGCCTCAAAAAAAACGGAAACGCCTCTAAAAAAGAGGAAACACCTCAACTTTAAATACTAGGAAACGCCTTAAAAATATTCGGAAATCCCTCAACTTTTTCCAGTTTTGAGGGATTTCCCAAAATAAAACGGAAATTCCTCAAAACCAGTTTTTGAGGCATTTCCGCGTTGAGACGTTTCCGTGTTGAGGCGTTTCCATATCACCCTTTGAACTCAACAATGTTTTTAATGAAAAATTTTTTTATTGATTTTTATCAACGTATGCATGAAAAGATTTAGAGAAAATTAAATAATTTTTAAGAACTGTTTTTCTATGAAAATATGTTCCAGTATATGCAGTATGGAAACAGTACAACAAAATGGCCGTTTTACATCTTTTTTGAGTTAATTTCTCTCCATACTAATATATTCCCTTTGAACAGAACCCGTTGCTTCCTTTTTTAAGAATGTTGAGCATTGTTCTTTATGCATTATATTGTGTACGAATACGATATGTAAACATACACTGAACCAACTCTACACTTCTTAATAGACAAATCCTCCCATAAAGAAGTCAAACTATCTTTTAAAATCAGAAATGTAGAGCATCATTCTCGAAACAGGCAATCTAAGACGTTTTTCATGCAGTTAAGCAGCCAAAATATGGCATTGATTTTTTTGTATATCTTATCGTTAATGCTTTTAACTTTTAGGAATATTCTGTATACAATTGTCTGTACATGTATATTGTTGTTGACGAAAATTGAAGATACACCATGGATGCTAAAGTTATTTCATATCCAAACAGATCAGGTATTACTTTTTATTTTTATTTTAAAAGTACATAAGATGGTGCAGATGTTTTTTTCCAATGCTCTACTTAAGTCTAGCAAATTCAACCAATCATTGGTTAAATATTTTTCAGCTTGAAATTGTCAATTGTCACGCTTTTTTTTACATACAGTAACAATTAAAAAATCGAATTCCATTTTGAAAAAAAGCTACGACGTCAACTTGCAAACTTATAAGGGCTGGATAATTAGAGTTCCGGGCGCTTTATCAGATTTTTTAACCAAGAAGACTAGTTTGGATATCACAATTTTGGCCTGGTTAAGTTGTAATTTCATTGACAGATTGTGTGTTAATCTTTCTGTCAGCAAATTAGTAATAGTGTTTTAACAGAATGTCCCAAAAAGCTTTGTTGTGAGCTCTTTTATGCAAAAAAAGTATCAAATTTGTTTTGAGGATTTAACTTTTAATTCTTGAGCCCCTCCCTCCTAACTTTCGCATAACTTTCCCCTAGACCTAATAAAATAAATATGTACAGGGTGTCTCAACAAACATGGGAATTGAGAGACGACTTGAAATTCGTCTTTGATTTTTGATATTTATTACATGACAAAGAAAGTACAAAAATGATATTAGATATAAAAATAATATTGTTTTATTGAATAAATTGAAATTTGTACAAATTTTGCAAAATCTCCGTCAATATTTCGAGATACAAAAATGTTAGACCTAATTTTGAAAATCTCAAGACCAGGAGTTTTCGATATTTGATGGTAAACTGGAATACTGCATGGATGAAAAAATGCCACATGGATCGGAGACGATATAAAAATCACCAATTAATTCCCATGTTTATTTTGTATATTTAATTAACAATTTTTCCATATTATGATAATTTCTTAAAATTCTTGTTTAGACATTTAGCTAATAAATAATTTTTTTATTTAAATCCATATCAGAACAAGATGTTTCAGGGAAGTCTTGCGGGTTAAAACTTTCATATTTCTGATAAATAAACCTATCCCGTTGATTAAAATAGAATATTTGTAGTAATTCTAAAGCTTCTTTATATCTAGATTATAAAATGTTTTGCACATCGCCATCGATGATTTTATTTGATCAATCAATGGTTATTGATGATGCAATATTTATTAATTGTTACTTGATGTCATCTTAAACATAGGAGAGTGGTCTACTTTGTGAAGTTTTGAGTTGCTTAGACTGCTTACTTAGTTCCCTGATTATGTTCTATCTACTAGGCCTGGCAGTTCATATGCTCTGCAGGAAGAATTATAAACTTTTATGAGAATGATTATTGTTTTTAGTTTTGATCTTATAAATTAATATCTTGTAATGATGAGTTTAGCGAGACAAAATATGTATAGTAAAACCCATGGCTTAGGTACACTATATTTCCGCCCTTCGAAAGTAAACTTCTTTGTAAGGATCTCTGATTTCAAAGGTGGTTTAACTTCCTCGCAGGAAGATTTATTTTTTTACAAGGAAGTTCACATGCGATGCACGTGATATACTACAGGGTGTCCCACGAAACATGACAGTTGGTGAATAGTTTAGAATGTCTTCTTCCATAATTTGTTAAGTTGTTTGATACCAATGACAATAATACAAATACTATACGGGAGTCATGGTATAGTAAAACTGGTTTCAAAGAAGAATATGTTCCAGAAAAAGATTTTTTTTAACATAATAAACTGCTATATAAACCTTTAATATCTAATAAAGTATACAAAAGACGACTTTCCTAACTATTTACCAACTGTCATGTTTCGTGGGACACCCTGTACATGAAGTACGTTGCATACATAGACAAGATAGACACTCAGTCAACTCATCTCGCGAAACCTCGATTTTATGTGGGGTTCATACAGTACACATACTTCATGTTTTGATTTCAATTACTAAATACTAAAGAATCTGAGAGATAAATAGATATTTTCCCTCTAAAATGTATAAAAAAAAAATTTTTAAAAGGAAGCTCTGAAAAAAATAACTTGTTTTTGAGAATACATACACAAAAGACTCCAATTTTTCTAAAATTGTACAGTTTTCCCAGCTTACCTGTTGTACTTAGTACACTGAACCTCCATCAATGTCTACTCTAAGCCCGTATCTTGCTAACTTAACTAGCGTATTTAAGACGTAATTTGTATGTCTCCGTACTCTACAATGTTTGTCTGCTATGTCTGCTAGATGTCGACAAAAGAATAGGTGTCAGCACATAATCTAATTTTACCATGCTTTCTATTTGTTTTCGCCGAGAGGGGTTGTGTTTCACCGTGAGAAAGCGAAGACGTCATTTGTTTGCAAAAAGTACTTTGCTGGAAAGCATTTAAGTTTTATGAATTATCCCAATAGTTCTGTCAACTGGATCTGATAAGTGGATAGTGGAGAAAACGTACTTCATGAAGTATATCGTGTACTGCATGGGAACTTCCTTTTAGAAAAAAACATCCTACGAGAAAGTTAAAATCAAAGAGAATAGATTATACTTGAGTGGAAATTACTCGAAAAAAGTGTAAAACGGCCATTTTGTTGTACTGTTTCTATACTGCAGGTGTACTTCACACATTTGTGCTATTTAACCTTTTGGGCCCTGGAACATCATTTTATAGAAAAGTTTTCTTGAAAATTATTTCATTTTCTCTAAATCAATTCTTTGATAGCCTGTCATGCATTCCCGAGTTCATTTCAGCATAAGCTTCGATAAAAATCAATTTGATGTTTTTATTTAGTAAAAAACATATTTTTTAATTTGAGGTAATCAAACAGTAAAACCAATATTTTTGAAATACTCATGCAAGATACCAAAATATTAAAATTAAGGATGAGGAAGGTAAATGGTTATTAACTCTTTAATTTCTAATTTATAACTTTTATACAGTAGGGCTCATAAAACTGTGAAATGGAAGAAAAACGTTTAAGGCCAAGGGGCGCCGGCGGAAAGGGGGGAAACAACCCTAGAAAATTGCGGGAAGCTTCTATATGTAGAATGTATAGATACTTAAATTCTATTTTAAGAACGGATTAAAAACATTTTCCCTGTGGAACACTTAATAAATAAAAATTTTTTTTAGTTAACTAAAGATATTTCTTTTGTTTTGGGACGCAGGTAGCTTGGAATTTCCTAGTGGGGGGGGGGGGGC